TCTTCCGATCTCATAATTAAAATAAACATGTTAAACATGACTAAATTTTTATCCTTTTTATTCTTAAAATTATACTACACGCGTAATGTCTAAAAAATGTCTAAAGAATGTCATATAGGACGTCCAAAAAGTATCTTATAGGTTGTCTTAAAAGATGCCTAAAAGATGTCTGAAAAATGTCATATAGGACATTTAAAAAGTAATTATGTGATTGATTATAAGATATCTTAAAGACGTCCTACAGGATGTCTAAAAACTATCTTAAAAGACGTTTAAAAGACATGTAATATGACGTCTAAAAGATAGACATAAAACGTCTTTAAGACGTCTTAAAGATGTCTTTTAGTAAATCTTTTTGGACGTCCGAAACATTTTAAGACGTCTTTTAGTTGTCTTTAAGACGTCTTATTGTTCACTGGGAATGCACAGAAAGTCCGCGAACAGTGATTCCTGCCCGCGACCAGACTATATGTATATTATTAATTGCCTTGACGTGTATTTTCAAATCTGAGTTTGAAGACACTAACTTATGTATTTTATTTTGAATTTACAAGAAGCACTAAAATGTAACTTTAAGAGAGTTAGATTAAAAGTTAATAGTTACCGATAAAATGTAACAAAATTGAGTTAAAAATTAAGAGCCTAAAATGTAACTAAATTAAGTTAAAATTATTTAACTTTTTAACTTAATTTTTATCTTTTTAACTATAGGCACTACCCAGTCCTGCATTTATTGCACTCAATAAAAAATAAGGGAGAATTTACATTGGAGTATAAAAAAGAAAATAGTAAATTAAAAGATAATAAAAGAGAAAATGAGGTTTACAATGGAAGGCGCATTCGGATAGTACGCTGTCAACTACGCTATCGCGTTGTTCTAATAAATGAATTAAGAGTTGCCCAGTAAATGGGAAATAAGGATTAAAATGGTTTAAATTTTTTATTCGTGGATTAAAATGGATACTGGCCTCCGTGGAAATGAATGCATTTCTATTTCGTAATATTTATATATTTTTAATATAATATTTATATATAGTATATTAATTGTGACTAGGAAATGCATAATTGTTTTAATCTATCTAAATCCAAAAAATATTTTTTTGAGATTTTTAGATAAATAACATTTATTTGTCCATTTTCACAAAAAACTTTTTTTGAATTTAATTATATTGAAAAAACAGCATTTTTGCTATTTAGAATTTTGAATTAACCAGTATTCACGATTTACTTTTTAAAGCTTTTTTTTAATTAAATATAGAAAATGTGATTTATGCAATTTCTTAAATGAATACAAAGACATTGGGCATTGAAATGGATTTAGATTTTTAGAAGTATGCAGTTGCGAACGTTGAAATGAATTTTTAAAAAATCTCTTTCAATTCATTTTCGTTTACTGGGCGACAGAAGTAACGGACCACGGACCAACTCTGAGCCTTATTTCTAGTGCAGATATGTATCTGAATCTGTATACGTAACGAGAACTATATATTTTCAGTGACAGTGTAAATCGGAATACAGTCTTTTTTACTTTTCTTTCCAATATTTAAATTTTTAGATTTTTCACGATTTTTCTCAATCGATCTCTTCTCAATTATCTAAAAAAATTAGATTACATGATAAAACAATTTAGAAATTGTTCGGATTTGATAACCCAAATTTATAAGAAATAAATACTTTAGTTTCAGTTGACTTTCAAAAAATAGTGATCCTGTATTTTATTAATGGGGTTCTATTGTATTTTCGTAACATTGACTTTTTAAAAGAAATATATACTGAGAGGTTCTCATATTTCTATCGAAGAGAAAACAAAATATATACAATTTTTAATATTTATTTCTTGCATATATAACGTATACACCTCATGTAATACATGTACTTTATATAATAGTGATAAATATATTACTTCTTTCTTTTAAGTCGTTTTGCATGCCTGTGTGCCTTGTAGTGCGTCTTTTGCTTTTCCTCAATAATCTCTTTATATTTACGCTTGTTATATTTTGTAAACTGCGCGTCTGCCATAAGCTCGTCAACGATTGTTTTCTTGCGTTCTTTCTTTGTAAGACGCGAAGAGTAGAAATCCATCGGAGAGTCAATAACTTTGCCGACATGGAAATGTTTAGGTAACGCTTTCATGTCATTCTTTTTGTAAAAATGTTTAGGATCTAACGCAGATCTCATTCTTAGCACTTCGAGGTCATGTCTAATCTCTGGTGTTATTTGAGGCGCACGCATGTTAAACCACTCTGCACCCATTCCCATCTTTCGTTTCTCGCGTCGTTTTTGGACCTTCAATTGGTGTTTGCTCAACTCGTAGGGTGGTACGACATGCAAATGTTCAAAATCAGATTTGATAACACTCTTCTCTAAAATTTTGTCCAATGGATTTACCTCTTTTCTTATATGCGCTAATTCTTCTGTTGGTTCAAAGACCACTTCCTTCTTGGATTTCCAACCCATATCGATTTCAAACTTTTCAAGATCAAAATCTTTGCAGGAAACGGATTTTTTCTTTTTTGGTTGTTCTTTCTTGTCAATGCCTAAATAATCTGCATCATATATCCTTACTGGATCGACATCTAATAAAGAAAATATTCATTAATCATTTATCATGCAATTAATTAACTGCTTAGCAAATAACACTATATTAATTTAAATCTTTGCTCGAAAAGGGAATGCTTCTTTCTCTAGTTGCTATGCTAAGCAAGAAAAAAAAGACGTCAATAAAAACGTACGTTACACTTTAGTTACAAAAAATAAGGTGATAATCTTTAGAAAGATTGGTGAATTAATTACTCTAAATAATCGATGATAATCTAAGCTGCTTTCCTTTTAAGAAACACAAATTAATATACTCGAGCACACTCAAACCTCATATCGTCATACATAGTTAAACAAAGTGCTGGGAGCAAGTTCGCGAATTTATTCTAATAATTATTCAGTTGATCAAAAAAAAAAACTTCTTCCAAGAAGAGTCGAGAAGTGTTAAGTTTAAACAAAATTGTAAATGGAAAGTGACGTGTGTCAGTTTGTGTCAAATGTATTGATTGTATTTCTTAAAAGGAAAGCAGTCTTGATGAACCAAATAATATGCTCAACATGAAACTTTAACCTCACAAAGATAAAATAAGTGCGGACATAATTACCAATAGTCTTAATTTCCACATCGTCATCATCACTGTCTATTAATCGATCTTTATTTGCCAGGCCAGTATTACCTCTTGTATCAATTACTATGTTCATTATAAATTTTAACTATATTCTTTCGTCGCTAATTCTGTCGTTGTCAAAGAGGTTATGTACAGTAGCTCCTGTCCTGTAAAGAGGATCCTGAGATTCCTGAGAGCGGACATGCCCGCGATTTAGCTGCGACGGGCGATTGAGCTGGTTTCAGCGCCTCTGGAAAGTGGACATTGAACTACCAACTAGAGA